AGCACTTGTCGGCGCTGCTTCGGAATCGTTCGTCGACTGGTGCATGGCGACAACTGTAGTAACACTACAAGAGGTTTAGTGAGCCAAAACTGTCAACATGTGGAGAGATATTGCTGTGATGTGTGAACTGTAAAGTGTTGCTGTGTCAGCAGTTCTTTTTGCAGCGCCATGTGGGTCGACTCCTACGACCAGTCTGGTGAGTTCTGTCTCAAAAGAGACTCTAAAATGTCCAACTGTTGTTTGCATGAAGCCAAGATGGCTGTAGTGCACTGCTTGGTTCAAGCACAAAAAGCTGTCTGGTGATGCTGCTAGGTCGCCTGCTGCTTGTCTATGTGGCCTTCAACGACCCTCACGCCCATACCTGTTGTGGAACTGTGCGTGCACCGAGGACTTGATTGCGGAGATCCCTCGTCCTACATGCCGTTTGAGCAAGCGCTTGCTTGCCAGAGGAGTCCCGGAGCTGCCTTTGGCCCCGGCTGTCTTGGACCATGAAGGCCTCATCGACGACATTGCGGAGGCGCTCGACCTGAAGCTGGCTGCGGGGGAGATCGTCTATATCGGCACCGACGGCAGCCTCGTCAACTCCGCTGCGGCCTGGGCAGTGACGCTGGAAAATGAACTGGTCTTCAGTCTCAACGTTGGCGGCGAGGACCAAACTCCTTTTCGAGCCGAGGTTGAGGGAATTGTGGCAGTGGCGCGAGCCTTGGGCAGGTGCCTTTCTTCTGGTGAAGTCCACATCATTTCGGATTGCCAGTCTGCGCTGGCTACCGTTGCAGGTGGGGGAAGCTCTCTGGTCATGGCGGCCCGAGCTGTTGAGCTTTTCGAGCGACTTCAAGGCCGCATTGCTGTGCATCGCTATCCCATGGAAAAGTTCCTCCTGCTAACTGGAAGTGCCCACCTTGCGGAGAAATGAGGTCCAGAGCTCTGAATGCCAGGGCCGATCGTGCTGCTCGCGCAACTGCCGCTCGCTTTGCCAATGGCAGTGCTCGTCAAGCTTGTGTTCGCGCCAGGGAGGCGGCTTTCTCCTGGGAGAAGCAGGCCCATCTCGCCTTTCGGCGAGTGGCTTCGCGATGGGCTAATGCCTGAGTGAGTGGCTTTTGGGTCGTCTACGACTTCGGCATCGTGGCGACCATGACTTCATCAGTAATGATGTATGGCTTCAAGTAAGTGGCCGGCACTTACTCCAAACCCCTCGCAATTTCCCAGAAACAGGATGAATGTGCCACATGTTTCCTGCGACATCACCTGCGGCCTTGGGGACCGTCAGGGAATGCCTCATAAAGCGCCAACATGGCCGTGTCCAAAACAACGTGCCCAAATGTAACTTTGGCAGCATCCTGTACCGATGACACCAAGGCATCTACACAGCCTTCCGACAAGCCGCACTCCTGCAAAATTAGGCCTTCCAAGAGAAGTGTACTGGGGCATACACACTGGCATGCCGCATGGCACATATACGGCGGCCCATACAGGGCGGGCAAGTGGGCGGGTGCAACTGCGGCAAACGACAAGGCAGCACAATACTAAACACAGGCAGCCAGGCGAAGCTGCACACTGAATAACACGGTTTCTGTGCTACTTAGGGTTTCTAGCACACGCTGGCCGTAAACAAATCCCACCCCAGCACGACTCCACCAGGCTGCAGCGGCGGCTGCAGTTCCATGGTGTGCCCACATAAACAAACCCAATCAAGCTCGGAATCTTGCTTACTTGGCTCTTAGGAACAGGGATGGCACACCCACACACCCACACACAGCCCTCTAAACTCTGAAGCCGAACTCCTCCAGGCGCTTCAGCACATCAGGTCGACACCTTGCAAATGTGTGCGAAGGCGCGTGAAGGTCTCGCTACTCTTGCCCGGCAACCGGGCCGGAACACACAAAGGCCGAAACCACGTGCGCACGTGTGACCAGCAATAGGGTCCTGAGAGTTTTGCTCTGCTTCGACTTGCCGGGTCTGGCGTGCTACGCTCAGTGCCTAGCAGGCCAGGTGCCTCAGGAAGACCACCACAGCTCCGTTGGCCTTGTGCGGGTTTGGCAAAGCTCCAAAGCCTGAACATTTTTCCAGGACTTCCGGGTTTGCGGCGGGTCCAACCTCTTCAGAGATAGGTCGACGTCTCGCATCTGACCTGGTCCATGATTGCTTTCGAGTCATCTACAAGGTTGCGAGATGAGTCGCATGGGCCAAAGGCAAACACAAGCGGCAGTCTCCTTGAAATTACACGTGTTTGGAGGGTGTGGGCCGCGCATTGGGCTCAGTCTGGAAGACTTCAGGAAGCCAGAGATTCAACATGCCGGGCAATCAAAACTGGACGCTACAAGCGTGTCCAAGCCATTGCTGAATCAAAATAGACAATGTGCACTTACTGCTGGGCTGCCACCATGAAGGCCTCAAGTCACTGATCTTGCCTAACTATCCATGCGTGTTGAAACAGAGCTTCCTTTCCCTCTCCACGTCTCGCAAAGCTCTAACAGATGGACTGGGTTGGGCGGAAAGCAAGGGAGCTTAGTGTGGCAGCCGGCTCCGGCATGCATTCCGCCAGGAAGTTGCTGTTCGAGACTCGGCACTGAAGGAATTTAGCCTCGCATAGCTCTTGCGGTCAAGACTCCCGGTGACAAGCTGCGCCTGGATCAGAGATCTGTCTGAGATCTGTCTCTGCAATCCATGGAACATCTGGGTGCAAGACCAGCACAGTCTCTCCGTCCACACACTCACCTAGCCATAAGATTGGGTCCGAGAAAGCTGACAAATTCATCGCGTGTGATCCGAAGATGCCCACCTGTTGGCCACACCTCAGGCTAGTCTGCAAAGAACAGAATGATGGAGAAGAGAGCTAGAACTAACCTGTCTTTCCGTACTGCCCGGACTTCGGCGATTGGGAGTGTTCGGGCTACCTGCCGTCCAATAACGAGCCATTCTCTTCTTGGGCACTTATACTCCTGGATAGCCTGCTTAATGGAGCTCATGAGCCTTGTGCGGGAGCACCCGGTAAGGCTCGCAAGGGCACGCCAGGAGCCACAAATATCCAAAAATGCGCACCACACTGTGGCAGGAGCACGATTTGATGAGCATCCAAAAAAGCAGCACCATGCCGGGACGCTGTTTCGAACCTAATTGCCGAATCCCAGAGAGCTGAAAGATTCGGAAAGCGATTTTGAAAGCAAAAGCGAACACGGGAGTGTGGAGGGAGAACGGTTTCCAGCGAAAATTTGAAGCGGGCTCTGACAGGAGCATGATGGATGAATCCAAAATTCCCGGTGACGTGGCAGCAGCTGTGACAGGAATGCTAATTTTGTCAAACACGCGCCGCACGTGCCACAGAACCGCCGCGTGTACCGGAAATCCACTGTATTCCGACACCAAGAACCCTGCAGTACAGTGTTCCGCCATTCTTTGCGGACAAAAGCCGACATGAATACGCTGGCCAACGGTGTCACCAAAGCATCCTGGGTTCCCCGTTTCGCAAGAAGGGATAGCCCAAAGCCCGAAAGTAACCGAAGAGCACCCAAGGAAGAACTCCCGCGACTCTAGCGTTCCAATTTCGGACTTCAGGCACCTGTCCTCCATCGAAACCCTTGCGACAATCGTTGTAGATCTCTGCTGGAGCTTGCACTCTCTGCTTTCCACGGAGATGAGTCCGCGTTTGGAAAATTGGAGAAGCTTGCTGAGATCATTCAGAACCTTCGGTGTCTGCGGTGCGCAAGCATTGCAGCAACCGAAGCTGCCAACAAGCAGCCCCAGAGAGGACCTTTCCACTGCCAGGAACCAGATGCACCGAAGGCTCCTATAAGCTCCAGAACCTCGTGAGTGCCAAGAAAAGCACCGTGCTTCGCAACAGTAAAAGCCTGCGGTTCCTCTTGAACTGCAGTTCTCACAGATTCAGCAGTGAAACCAGGTATGTAGGTGTGGCCCACAACCTTCGCTAGAGCCAAGTCGTTGTCGTCATCGCCCATACTCACAGTTGAATCTTTGTCAAACTGCCCCAAAGCCTTCATGAGGTACTTGGCAGCCTTGTCCTTCCCGCTCGTGGCAGGATAGAAATCAGCACTGCCCAGATTGAAAGAACATGCCAAGCTTGTCGGCAGAGCATCAATGACAAGACGAAGGTCAGCTTCAGTTTTTCCCTGTGATTTTTTAACGCTGACCCGAAAGTCGGTCGAATATTTGTTGGCGTCACATGTCCAGCCTTCACGCTCCAATTTGCGGAACAAGTCCCACAATGTCCCAGGACGTTTAGAAGGCGGCACAGACTCGAGAACGACTGGTGCTGCAACATGAATACCCCGCCACTGCAAGTCTTCAACGATGGGTGCAGCTGTAAGGGCGGAATGGCTTGGAGCAGGAACGAAAATGCGTCCGCCATTTTCCGTGACGTAGGCATCTGCTGCCGGAAGGAACGGCAGGCGTTCCAGGACCGTGCTGCTACGGGCACCACTGATTAACACGAAGAGGTGCCCAGATTGCCGGATCTGGGCAACAAGCTGCAATGTCCTTTCACTGATGAACGCCAGGGTTCCGGTAGACGAAGGCGGAAGCGGGCGCACTTCAATCTCCTGACCTTCTGTGGTGGTAAAGGAAAGACCGTCTTCTGAAAGCCGACCCCAACGTTGCAGCGCATCATCTGCTATGTGAACCAGGGTTCCATCTATGTCGCTGAAGATTAGCTTTCTCATCACGAGATTAGGTTTCTCATGGCTGGCACGAAACCAACACTAGCGTCACTAGCGGCTGCGGTCAACGTAACCTTGTTAGCAAAGGAAGGAGTCTTAGACCCGGTGTGCTGTTGCCATCCGTGGCCCCAAGGCCCCCGACCACACCGCCAGCATCTGCACAGTTGCAGCGTGACGTTGCTGCCTGCGGAACTCATGGCTTCAGATGATCTTCGTGCAACTGCTCCAGTTAAGGCCAGTACCTCTCCAGATACAACTGTGCTTCTCGGCTGGAAAACTCGTAGCTTGGGTCGGATAGCTGCTGCAATGGCCTGGAGGTCTGGTATTTCTGCGACTGACTTCCTTGTGAAGAAGGAGGCTGGCCTGTAGCGGTGGCGGCTTTGCTAAGCTCTCGGGGATGTCTCGAACATACGCAATCTCACCTGCAAGTCGACAGAAATCCCACGAAGAAGGTGCGTGAAAAGTGGACAAAAACCATGACTGAGAAGAGTCCTTCCTTCGTTGTTCAACTCGTAAAAGGAGATGCCTCGAGTCCTGCACAGATCTGTGCAGATCGTGAAGCATCTACTACAGTGAATTGTGCTTTCATGTAGGCTTCCCTCAGCGTTTACAAGAGAATGATTCGCTCATATTAGCACGTCTCTACAATACGGTGTCAGCTTGAGCCTTCCCTATGCACTGATGGGAAACTTGGAAGCTCCTTCACACCGCAACGACCTAATGAAGGAAACTCCACATCGTTGCTGAGTACATCAATGCATCCGGCCTGGGGGCATCTGAGGAGGCCCCAGATATCTCAACGTTCCAGGTGAAGCCTAGGCTTAAAGTTTAAAGCTTTCGTGAGATGCCTGTGCACTCCTCTCGCGAGTAGAACAGCTAAGCTAGGCTCAGCATGCGCGGATTCCGTCCGAAAACCGCTCAGCAACGAATTTGAGTGCCTTGATCTCAGCCTTGTGGGGCAGCCGATCCAAAGCAGCGACTGGTGAACAAGACTGGGTCGCAAGCAAACTTCTCCAAGAACTCGCCTTTGTGTGGCAATTGTTGAAGAAAGCATAGAGCATGCCTCTGTGCAACACTCGTAGGGATGCAACCCACTGCTGCTTTCCCACCTGCCGATTCACCACAATTCCAGCAATTACACATCTCTCACAAGGCAGGTAACTCTAAGCCCCCATCGCATTGGCATCTCATAGTTGAAGTCCTCGTACAACACCTGGGAGTCGTTCGGCAATAACACGGACGGTATCGTCAGGGCGGCTGGACGCAGACACAGGCCTCTTCCGCGAAGAAAGTCAACGACTCTGATGGTGCTGCATTGCCCTGGCAGGGATCGAGAACGATCCGTAAAGATAAGTCATAAGCTCTAACTGCATAACTGACCAGCTTCGATCATGTGTCCTGCAGCTCGCTCCACAGATACCGGCAGATGTCACCTTGTGCCGAAATACGACAAGCCACTCTTGTCATCATCAACACTGTTTACCAGGAAGACACTGTAAACTGCTTCAAGAATCGCACTCGCTCCCGATGGGGAGCGTCGCTCAACCTTGCTGACTATGCTTTCTCCACTCCAGCATATGCAAACGATTGCAACCGCAGCCATCTGAGAGAGGAACGGCATCAAACTTGGCTGTATTCTCACCACCGATGGCCTTGCTTAGCAATGATCCTCTGTGCGGTATCCTCACGCTTGTGGGGTGGCAAAAGTCTTGGCCTTCAGTAGTTCCACTGTTGCATCACCGGGCTTGAACAAGGGCTCACAGATCTCGCGCAGGTAGCTGACCAACCTTAAGCATGAGATACAGATTTGCACAAGGCTCGAGACTACTTCGAGCCTTTGGGACAAGCTTTCTGGTTGCGAATTCTGTTGGCCCCTTTCAATACAGAACCAAGACAATACACAAACAGTCCTTTGAGTTATACTTTCAAGAATGTAAGGACTTCAAACCTTCAACTCTCTGAATCGTTTCGAGGCGCAACAATATTCGTCCTTGGAACACACATCTCTAGCCTGACATTTCAATCCTACACAGATCCGTGCATGCAGCACATCCTACACACACACACACACACCACGACCCCTGAAGCCAGTAATTTCAGAAAAAGCAAGTAAAGTCTCCAAGCCCATTGCCCATCTTCATTCAGCTCCACATACGTGGTGCCACGGATTCCCACCTAGCTTGCGGATCTGGGAGAATCGCGCGTCGTGCACTCAACATTCCGCGGGTCATCCCGGATGCGGGGTCTGTTGTAGAGGGGTGAGTCAACATCGGTTTCTGAACCTCTCCCGCCGCTCAGCCTTCACCCCGCTCTTTCCAAGACCAAAGCTCCTGAGGCCAGATTGTTAGCTCCCCCTGTCAACCTCGGATCCTCCATGCTGGGAACCGCCCGACACATGACATGACATGTCAATGAAGCTGCCATGAAACCAAGCCCACCTCGTGTCGTTTTCTGCATTTACGTCGTGTTGAACTAACATGTTTGCTTGTGAGCTCATGGCAGCACCGTCATCTTCCAAATGCCAGGTGAATCCACAAGACCTCTCCGCCGTCACCATGCGACACGATCGCAAAGACTAATATTAACCTTTGCTGTTGATTGCTGCCCCAAGGCCTTGTGCCATCACTCAGGCGGTCAATGACGATCCTCGTACCAGGAGCAAAGATGTCAGCAAGTCGCAAACTGCTGGAAGGAATACTGTGACCTGCATATGCTGCTCTGTTTGCTGCAGGAAAGCAGGGTCCTTCCGCAAGAGGCCTTGTTCTCTACGTAGGCGCGAACCTCAGGGATACCGGCATGGCGTCTTTTGTCGCACCAGGAAGGTTGCAGGCCAGCGGCACCAGCAGAATCTGACGCACTGACGTCTGAGTAGTAGAGGTCCTCTTGTCACATTCGAGACTGAAACGTAGCGTCTCCCTGCATTAATCCGCAGCGATCGCAGTCACCTCATGTATCATGGTGACTCGGAAGCTTTTTGTCAAGCAGTCTTCTCCCATAATGTGCAATGCTTCTGGTGCAATGGCATACCTGCACGTCAAGTGTCTAAACTTAGTTCAATAATAGTCCGCTTGCTGCTGGGACGGAGCTTCCACAGCATTGGCGCTGCCCCCTTTGAATCGTCTGCAGCCAGCACTCGCTCCGCGGGTACTTGTGACACTTGTGCTGATGGACACAAGTCCTCCCTGGCCAAAGGACAAGCCTTACAGTTAGGATGACGTGGTTTGCAGATTTCTTGGCCGAAGCCAATCATACGCCGAGCTACAATCTCGCGCATCTCTTCGGGAACAAAGCCTTCCAGGCAGCGTCGTGTCTGCTCCGGTTCGGTGAACCTTGACCATCCAAGCCGCCGAGCAACACGCTGAACATGAGTGTCTACGACCATTCCACATCCGGCGGCTTGCTGAAAGGTAACGGACAGAACCAAATTGGCTATCTTTGGACCAACACCAGGCAATGCGATGAGGGCATCAAAGCTGGCTGGCACTCTCCCTGCATGGTGAGAAAGCAGAGTCGCCGCCGTCTCGCGTAGTCTCTGCGCCTTGCCTTTGTAGAAGTTGACTCCGACCAAACATTCACAGAGCGTCTCCAAGGGAGCCAGGGCAAGAGCTGCTGGGCTTAAGCACGCAAAGCAGAGAAGGAGCCGCTTTGTTGCATCGATGGCCGCACGATCGCGGGTCTGCGCACTCAAGATTGCCGCACAAAGACTTGTAAATTCACAGCTATCAGATCCTGCCAGTGAGCAAAGGAAATCATGGAACTCTTGTACTGTGCCTCGGGCATCAGCTGAAAGAAGCCCCCCCAGCTGCCGGCGCCAAACTGGGGGGCTGCATCCGCGAAGCTCAGCACCAGAAGCCCTCACGGAATGACCATCAAGGAACTCCTCTGCTGAGCGGCCGGACCCAAACTACTTTCAGGGCGGCTCTACGACTGGACGATGCTCCGAAGTTCCGGCAAATGGGGTCCTTTTGACTTTTGCCTCTCCGTCGGCTCGAGGCTCAGGCTGGTCAAACCAAAACAAAACCCGTGTCTTGAAGTTTTGCCTTTTTCGGCGGACCCCGGGCCACACACGTCCCATCGTTTTCTTTGTTTTCTTTGACGCGACGGTTTTTCCTCACACTCTGCACGAAGCAGAGCTTTCCCGTACCACACGGCTACAGAGCTATATCTGCTACATCTTACAGTCTGCCGGAAGACAGGGTGTGTAAACCAAGTTGAGGTGCCCGGAGCTCCACGTCCGTCGCATGCATCGTGCCCACCGACATGAGCGTGTGATGTGGCGAGGTCCGGCTCATGCTCCGCGTCTGCTGCGGCACCTGCCGCGGCGGGCACTGCTGTCCACCTGTCCCTGTCGCCGAAAATGCGAAGGCTTCCAACAGATCGAGGCCAAGGCTTGCCATCGCACAGGTGCAGGTGCGGAGGCCGCACTCGAACAGACAGCTTGCGAAACTAATGCAATGCGAGTCAACCAGGACCACATCCTGCCACTGCATGAAAGTTTACTTCAGGCTGCAGAGTTCAGACTTCGGAGGACTGCGGGTGCTGGAGCTGGGGTTCAGGGTTGAGCCTGCAGCCTGCAGCTGGAAGCGTGAGTTGCACCAGGTCATTTACAGCCATGGAGCCGCTTGTGGACGTTTACAAGTGCCTGCATGCCGCACATTGAGACTAGCCGTCGGCAACTGACGGCCTCAACAACTGCGTTCGCGTCGAAGGCTTCCAGCCAAGCACGCTCCTTTTCCACATTGCCTCCACTCAGGCAAGCACAGGACTTGGAGTCGGTGTCGGCACAGGCAGCTGAGAAGGGCACCCTGCGGGAGACCAACCTGCAGAGCAACCATAAGACGTTCATAGCCTTGCAGCGCTCGCCACTGCACCTCCTCCCACAACCGCAGCACTAAAGACGGTGCTGCTCCCAAACTCGTCCTGTAACTGTAACGGTCAAGCATGGCATTCCGCGACTACATCACGACCGTGCCGACTACCGGTGTGATCTGGGGCGTCAGCTGTCGAGCGACTTGCAGGGTCGCGGCCTGACGAAAACACTGAAGCAGAATGGCGATGAATGTACGTTGCATGTTGAGAAACCTTTCGCGGACGCACCTGCATCGATGAGACCGACGGATCGCCTCTCAAAACTGACACTCCCATCAACCCCCTGCCCCAGGCTTGTCATGCAACCACTAGGTCCGGAACGGGCAGGTCCACATCTCTTGCTTCGACTTCGGAGCCCAGCATGCACACCAGCCTTGCTTGTACTTTCTGATCCAAAGCACTGCGTTGAAGTCAGAGCAGTCAAGACTGCAAGTCAAGCAGTACTAGTAGGTCTCACTGGGTGCTGGTCAACGGATCCCATGATCAGAGCCGTCGCTGCTGCAGAAGCCTCGCTGTCTGGACTTTCAGCTGGCAGATACAAAGCCGTCCGCCAGGGCTCGTTCTGCAGCCTACACGACCCACCTTCCGATCTTCTTCACGAGCTGCTAGTGGCGAAACCTGGCAAGCACTCAGTTGATTTTTCTTTGCTGCAAGTCAGTGCAGCGGGGCGCCCAGCCTCTTTGATGGGAAGAACTGATGGGAATGCCGGTCTGCTCGGCCACGGCGGCGAAGCAGACTTGGTGTCATGAATAGGTGCCCCGACGAGTTCACAGTTTCGCCTCGTAAGCTTTGCACAAGCAGCCCAGCCATGGCTTGCCAGTATCGCACTAAGCGCCACTACAAATACTCGTAGATTCATGCAGTTGAATCTTGAACACTCGAAGTTTCTCAATATATGACTTGAAAAGCACCTCTATCAGTGGTTGCAGTGCTCAGTTTCGAGCAAAGATTGCTGACCTCCATACTCCGTGCTTGCTTGACTGCGGCCATACTTGCGCAAAAAAGGATGCCAACGACAACGACGACAACCACAACAGCAACAAATTGATCCACCACCAAGCATAGCTACCAGCACTAGCAACGGCAGCAGGAGCTGTAGCACCGGCGACGCCAACGACACCTGCATACTGCTGGATCATGGCCTGCCCGGCGGGTTTGCCTCTGGCAAAGTCCGATGGCGATGCAGTGATCAAGTTTGTTTCTGGTCGGCTGATAGACCTTGGCATAAACGGAGAGACGATGCAACAAACGTGCAGCCTGAATGGCTGGAATAAGGTTCCCACGGGAATGCCATGCCCCCACGACGCGCAGCCAACACCAAAATGACTGCAGTGGCCTCAGCACGAAAATCAATGCCGGAAACTCCCATGCACAACATATTTAAAAACGGCCAGGTGCACGGCGACGAAAGTGAACCGGCTGCCATGCCGACGGTAGTGTCTTCTCGACCGCGCAAGTGATGCCTCGGCAGCTCGCGAGGCATTGCCACAAGATCTCTTGAAAACACGCACACACACACACACACACCCATACAGCTGTGGCCAGTGCTGATGTCCTGAGGCGTCAGGCTCTTCGCAAGTGGTGCGACAAAACTCATGGTCATGTTGGGCCCGCGCATTGTCATCAAAAGACAACGAACCAGTGCAGGCCCATGTCTGCTGATCCAAGAAAACGCGGAGTTGCGCAAATGTCTCGCAATTCCGGATGAGAATTTGCAACAAAAAAGACAAAGATATACATGAAAATGAAAAAATAGATGATGATGTCACGCAGCCGTGCATGCTCCGTCGGAGGCATCTGCATACTACCGAAACATCTGTGATGTGGCGCTTCCAATCCGAGACACAACTCGCTGTCGGTAAACATGATCGCAAAACTTCTTCCGACCGTGAGCAATCTCGACCCAACTATCCGGTTGCGTGGAGGACATTCCGTCTCGGAGACATGATCCGAAAGCCTGCATCTGCTTCGCAAAGATCGTCGTTTCAAGAATCGGCCCAAAAAACACACAAACGTCTTGTTTTGAAAAGGTGTTCGCATCAGAGCAGATTAAAAGCGTATAAAGTAAGGTTAAACCAAAGTGTTGACCTGAAAAGTCTTCGTGCCGATGTTGATTACATTGCTTGGCGTCCCAGGTGCACTATCGAGGATGCATTATCTGCCTGCTGGCGTGTGACATATCGTTTCACCTTTTTACGTGCAGGACCGCATACTGGACCAGCAAAACACAAGACATGAATAATAAGCCTTGAACAGACCTCAATTTGTCACACGATTGTACACCCTCTTCTGGCTTTTGAATGCAAAAGAGCAATGCAGCAGAAAAGACCACATCCGCGGCGTCCGCATGTTGCTTAAGTCACACTTGCTGGCCTACAGACGGGGTTAAAAGGGAGTTTGGGGTTAAAGTGAGGTTGTGTGCTCACAACACACGGGTCTTGAGCACACATGATTCTCTCTGGTGCTTCATGATGCTGGCTGATGGATTAATTTAGGCAGGATGCTGCATGATGCTCAAGATCCATGATGCTTCCTTCATCA